TTTCAAAGTCCTGGAGTGGCCTAGCCAGTCTCCAGATCTCAACCCCATATAGAAAACCTTTGGAGGGAGTTGAAAGTCCGTGCTGCCCCACAGCGACCCCAAAACATCACTGATCTAGAGGAGATCTGCATGGAGGAATGGGAACAACATACCAGCAACAGCGTGTGTCAACCTTGTGAAGACTTACAGAAAACGTTTGACCTCTGTCATTACCAACAAAGGATATATAACAAAGTATTGAGATTATCTTTTGTTATTGACCAAATACTTATTTCCACCATAATTTGCAAATAAATTTTAGCAATTCTCACGTCGAACCAAACATTATTTCATCCTCAAATTTTAATGTGTTGACTTCAAATTTGGACCAAAGCTTCTTGACAAGATGKTGCACAAACATTATTAAAAAGTTGTTGGTCAATTTAAACTGTGTGGACGTCGAGTTGTTTTTGAACATGCCCATTTCTACTTGAATACATTGTTTGAGGGTACCTTTACTGCAAACTGTCCAAACTGTGCAAAATGTACATGATAGATGGGCATCCAGTCCTGAACATGGCYATATGCAAATGTTGTGAATTGACCACTGAACAGTCTAGTGGCAGAACAAAACTGCCATGTTGTGTTTTCAAACCTTTCATCAAAACAGCTTCGAATTAAAGTTTAAATCTTTTAGAAAGCAAGGAATTAGTCATTGCTTGCAGCCACCAGAGTGTGGCCTGAGCACCTTGGCAAACATCAGCACCACCAGCCTGACAATCGTTAGGATGATGGTGCTCTGAATAATAGGGATTATCAGGGTACTAACGATCTATTGTTAGGTTGATGGTTCTCCTTTGCATGTGAACTAACACTGTTATCATTGTTAAAACTGTTTGTCCACCATGTGGAGGCAGTGCATATAAGGCTGAGTTTACCTGAAACTCCTCAGAGTGAAGAAGTCTCTTGGAGAAGAAATGTTTCATTAAAGAAGAACCTGTCAGAGGACCTTTATTTTTTTTTCTACCTGGATTACTGAGATGTATCAGAATGTTTAATGAAACTGTTATCACAGGTTCAGGTTATCATTAATCCTCCTAGATAGATGAAGTCTTAATACCAGCTGAAAGTTGTAGACTAATTGCAGAATGGTTCGTCGTTACAAATTTGTCTATTTGTGTATGTCAGCAGGGCTGAACAGGAAAGGTTCCTCCAAGGGCATAAAAACTGGTTGGAGCAAAGCAGGCAGCTTGAAGCATTTGCCATTTGTACTTCTAAGGCTGAATCATTTCAAACTTTACATGTTTATTGACACTACTGTAAATACAAAACTCAAAGGCTTGGTAGAACGTGCTGAAACTGTAATTTAAGCAGCAAAAAATACAAATAAAAAACAGGAAGACACTCACTTGAGCCTCCTGGCTGCTGCTAAGATTGAAACAGAAAATCTAAGTCTTTGAATTTTACAATCAAGAGGTTTATTTAGCTCCAACTCCATCCCATAAATGTAAATCACTTTACTAATCAAATCAAATATGTTAGTTATTAAATATTCGGAGATGTACAGTGGTAAAAATAAAAATCTGATCTTAATGGACGCATCAATAAATCCAACAAAATCTGTTAAAACAGTCTATTTGTGGATCAACTTGATGTGGTTCTGTTACTGCACAATCCTCCGTTTTAAGGTTACTGCAGTCTCACAGCAGCTTCATAGTGGCACATGGCAGGAATATGGCTTATAGGTGGATTCAAGTTTACAAACTCATTTTCAGTTGTTTCTTGCATTATAAATTATGCAAGTGAATTAAAAATAATTCTGCCAAACATGAAGCCTTTTTTTTTTTACTGAGGACTAGAATTCCTCAACCATCCAAGCCTATTTTAAACATTCCAGGAACTACAATCATAATAAAATATTACTATCAGGGATATAAACAACTGAATTTGAATTTGACAGATAATCAGAATTGTTCCCATGATGATTTAGTCATGCTCAAACGAATCCATCACTGTGCTACAGACAGATCTGACTTTAAATTCAAGCTGGTGATGCAGGAAGTCTCACTTTGTAGCATAGCCCTCATGGTCCATGGGCTAAGGTGGCTCACAGTGCCCCCCCACTGAACTTCTCTGGTATTTTCATGTACCCTAGAGTCCAGTCTTTCAGAAAATGCATGTTAACAGGAAAGAAGTTGGGTCTCACTGCCCCCCAGGGACCTTTTTTCGGCCACACCCCTTTTCTATTGTGACCATCAAAATTAAGGGTACAGAAAACTTAAATGCCAATAACTTTGCTATAAACCAACCAAAATAAAAAAAGGTATCAGAAGATTCGTATTGATTAGCTCTTTGATGGTCATGACATTTCATTAAGAAAATATCTGCTTGATGATGTCATCTGGGGGGCGGGGGGTGGTGGTGTCAAAAGGTTGCAACCCCAACAGAAAATGAAAATTTTCATCTTTTTGGTCTGTAGATTAGGGTGGGTAACCATGCACACCCCACTACTGAACTTCTCTGGTATTTTCATGTATGCTAGGGTCCAGTCTTTCAAAGAAAAAAAAAAAAGGCATGTTAACAGAAAAAAGTTGGGTCTCATTCCTCCACAGAAACTGCTTTTTGGCCACACCMCTTTTCCATTTTGACCATCAAAGTTAGGTATATACAGGAAACTTAACTGCCAATAACTTTGCTATAAACCAACCAAATTTTACAAACAAGATATCAGATCTTTGATTTAAATTACATTTCATTAAACAAATGTGCAAATATGTCATCAGAGGGTCAAAATGTCCCAACCCCAACAGAAGATGAAAATTTTCACCTTTTATCTGAGTTTACCACACAGATCCAAAACATTCAACTTTCTTAGCCTTTTCAAACACCTTAGGATCTACATATTCAGAAAAAAGTCTGTTAACAAAATTAAAGTTGTAGGTACTACTCCACAGGGACCAGTTTTTGACCACACCCCTACTCATTGTGTGCACAGTTCAGAATTTTCAGGATCTCAAACTTGCATGTATTCACTATGGCAGAATAAAATGTCACAAATCTGGTGTTAAATGATAGATATTGACGTGGTCTCTCACTTAGATGTGCTTTTGTTGTTACCAGCCAGGAGTTAAAGTAACACATAAGACTGAACTTATCATTCACAGAAGAGTGGATCATCTCCTTCCCATTTGTCTCCAAACTTACCAAATGTCTCTTAGTAAGCCTCGCTGTTTTGAAAGATCTTCATGCTTTTATTGCTTAAAGTAACCAAAAGACTGGAAATTGATGGACCAAGGAGTTCAGAACAAATGTCAGTACCGATATATGGCTACAACTAAGGAAAATTCAATTGCTGCATACATGTTACATACATGTTACTCAATCCTTTTCACCAAAAAATGTGTTCTGCTCCGCTAGGTCTACATGCCTACACAGGATGTGACAGTACAAGTGCTTTAAAGGAAAAGGGAAAGTGAAAGGCATGAAGCTCCTTCAGAACAACAAGACTTACCAAGAAGCATTTGGTAGGTTTGGAGACAAATGGGACATAGATGATGCACTCTTCTGTGAGTGAAGTTTACTTGTGCTCCGTATAGTATTGATTTTTTTTTCTCCAATTTTACATTAATTCTTATTTACAATTGGTTGAAGTTCAAGCTAATCAAAGTAAATAACTCTGTGAAAGCCTTTCAGTTTAAACAAACACTTGTTTCTGAATGTTCACCAATGTGTCACTTTTAACTCCTGGCTCGTAACATGGTCTGTTGCATAAATAATCATCAAAAGTACATCTAAATGAGATACCATGACAATATCTATCATTTAACACCAGATTTATGACATTTTATTCTACCATAGTTAATCTACATGCAAGTTTGAGATCCTGAAAATTCTGAACTGTGCCCACAATGAGTAGGGGTGTGGTCAAAAACTGGTCCCTGTGGAGTAGTACCTACAACTTTAATTTTGTTAACAGACTTTTTTCTGAATAAGTGGATCCTTAGGTGCATGAGAAGGCTAAGTAAGTTGAATATTTAGTATCTGTGTGGTAAACTCAGATAAAATATGAAAATTTTCATCTTCTGTTGGGGTTGTGACAATTTGACCCTCTGATGACATCACTGCACATTTGTTTAATGAAAAGTAATTTAAATTGAAGAGCTAATGAATACAAATCTGCTGATACCTTGTTTTTAAAATGTGGTTGGTTTATAGCAAAGTTATTGGCAGTTAATTTCCCTGTACCTCTAACTTTGATGGTCAGAATGGAAAACGGGTGTGGTCACAAAGTGGTCCCTGGGGGGCAGTGAGACCCAACTTTTTTCTGTTAACATGCTTTTGTTGAAAGAGTGGACCCTAGGGTATATGAAAACACCAGAGAAGTTCAGTAGTGGGGTGTGCATGGTTACCCACCCTAATCTACAGACTAAAAAGAGGAAAATTGTCATATTTTGTTGGGGTAGTGACATTTTGACCCCTAGATGACATCATTGTTTGCATATATTTTTAATGACATGTCATTTAAATCGAAGAGCTAATCAATATGAATCTGCTGTTACCTTGTTTTTAAATTTTGGTTGGTTTATAGCAAAGTTATTGGCAGTTAAGCTTCTTGTCCCCCTAATTTTGATGGTCACAATGGAAAAGGGGTGTGGTCACAAAGCGGTCCCTGGGGGGAAGTGAGACCCAAATATTTTTCTGTTAATATGCATATTTTGAAAGACTGGTGGGTGAGCCACCCTAGCCCATGGACTATAAGGCATGTCAAAGCATTTTCACATCATTAGTTTCCCAGCGTGCCCTCAAGTTTACAAAGTGAGTTCATCATTGATGAGTCTTCATTTTTTAGAAAACCATGGCTTAAATCACATTTTGGTGCAGACACACCCATTGTACATGAGGTCCCAGGTGACTGAGTTCCAGACTGAAAAAGATGGAAAATCCTGGCTAAGAGAGTAGCCGCCCCTTCTTAAAATAAAATAATAAAGATTGTGCTCACCTCTAAAGACAAATGAGGCTTGTTTGCATAAAGGCCCGCTTTAATGAACACAAACATCTTCCATTGATCCAGTCAGTTTAAATCAACCTCTGATTTATCGAGGATCAAGTCTATTCTCCACACTCAGACCCATCTTATTGTCTTTGTGACCACATACATTTTTTTCCTCTGTGAAAAAAACAAAACAAAAACAACCAAACCACGTTTGTGTCGTCTTCTTTTCTTCTACCTTAATCAAAAGTTTAAGACATACTCACAAAAATAAAGAACGGTAAATTTCAAAATGATCTGGTTTCAGGGCAGCCACTTTGAAAGTCTGAGTAAAATAAGTCAGAAAATAAGTGATTTTCTTCTTCTCTGGCGCAAATACACACAAGAACCTCGATTCCAGTCACACAACTTGTAGTTATCCTGACTCGTAAAGCTTAAAAAGAATCGGCATACTGTTCCATCTCTGTGATGCTCTTTTATAGCAATCAATCACAAAAATAAACAACAACAAGCAAAGAGTTAAAAGGTTCTCTGCACTGAGTCAGGGATGGGAGCTGCCCTGGCTGTCAGGGTCTGTTCCAGACGAGCTGCTGTCCGAGTCCGAAGCGTCGTTATCGTGATCGTTCTCGGCTAAGTTTTTCTCCCGTATTCGCCTGTGAGTGGCGCGGAGGCGAACCAGCAGGCTCTGGTAGTCGAAACGGCCGCGCTTCTCCCCAAACGGATCCTGGGGGAAAGGCAACAAGAACAATCAATGAAAAAAAAAAAAAACAGGAAAGGTTTTCCCTGAGCCACATTTACCACCAGGTGTGATTCTTTTATGAAATACACACTTAAACCATGGACTGAATGGACTGAAGACTTTAAAGGAATAATCTGATTTGTTGTTGTTTTCTCAACCAAACAATGCATCACATTATTGCATGACTATACATTATGTGTTCTGAGTGATGAWTAACTGATTCATACAGATTCATGAACCTGTGCGATGCATCTAGAGCAGCCGTGAACTAATGGATTGAATTTAGGACACATTAATAAAGCAGGACTACATTTAGAATAAATTTACTTGAAATCTTAAAGGAAGGTAACCTTTTTATCATGACAAAATTTTCAATTGCAATAAAAAAATAAAACCAACATTTAACCCCAAGTAATAATCACGATTAATTGTGGCATTTAGCCGATAGTGATGGAGTCCCTGAACACGCTCATTCAACTCAGTCCACCCTGTGGTCTCACCCCCACCCCACTGGACTAACAGAAAACCGTCAAACTCCTTTCTGACTGAGATCTGAAATTGTCAAGTGCCATAAAATCTACAGGAAGAAGAATCTAAAAAGATGCAAAAGAGATGTGACGTTTGCAAACAATCTGAATCTGTTGAACGGCTCCTTACAGTGAACTGAGTCGTGGGCAGTAAAGAGCCGTTTGTGGGTTTGTTTTTTCCTAGTCCTCATAATATTTTTGTTTCTCTCCTTAACCCCAGAGATTCCTTCTCCACTTTTTCTACACAGGCAGGTGGATTAATGGCTCTGCATTTTCTGGTCTCATTCAAAATAACAGAAATCTGTGGTGGCTAGGTCTGGATATTTTGCTGGATGATAAATTGTATCAGGAATCATTGCAATAAATGAAAAAAATGTTAGGAGACAAATATAATGATTCTTCCTCTGGCTTCATAAAATAACTGAGGTCACTCTCATACAACTTGGGAAATTGACAAAAATTCATGAAATTYACRTAAAGTTACGGACAAACCGGGAGCGGAGTTTGTGAAAATAAACAGCTGCAGCTACTGAAGCCAGAGTTCACTCCTGCTTATGTTAAAAAGTAGAAATGAGGGAGACATGAAGAAAAYAAACTAGGAGAAAATGAAAATTATCTGCCTCRTTTTAATTTATCATGCGATTAGCATTAACTGATTTATTGCAACAGACCTAGTCATGGCAACTGAGAACTTTAATACCTGGAAGTCCGTACTTACTACAAAATGTAAGCTCTTTTACACCAACAACAATCATTTAGWGAAAAAGCTAACAAAAAAATAAATAATTTGATTGTTGACATGAACATAAATTACCTGAGTTTTGAGAGTTTTATTTGTTAATTGGCTGTTTTATAACCATGGAGGAGAATTTTGAATTTAAAATGAGAATTAAATATTAATCCAATAATTCTGTGATTATTCTTTGTAAGTTATACAGATATGTGTTATATGAGCTCTATCCACTCAATCAGTGCTGGTTATTTTTTATTAAACAAATACTTCTATTTAACACTATTTTTTGTAAAAGTGATGGATAATAATTTCCAGTCTTACCTGCATGTTCTGWCCCTGAAGATGGAGCCTTTCTTTGCAAACTCCTTCATAGAAATCATTGTATTCTAGAAAGGATTTCTCCATCACACTCCTAAAAACAAAACACAAACACTTCAATAACTTCATAAATGAAAAGATAAATATTCAACCAGCCAATAACTAAGGAGATGGATCACCATCTTACCCCAGAGCTTCAGGGCAGGGAACTTTCCCCTCCAGCATGTCACACACTGCCACCCTCATCGTTTCATGGCGGATACACTCGTTGTAATTCTTACTGTCCCCTGGGTGACGTTCCTGTACATTTATTAAAGAAAAAAAGATAGTGTTACAGTGTCTAACCTCACAGCTGGCACAAAACTAACATTTATTTTATCATGTAAATCTTAGAAAATCCAGATGTTCCACTACATATTAATGGTTAACTGCAATGAACATAAATTCTAATAYTGTAACAGGATTACTTAGTGGATTTTTATTGAAATGTTGATCATTCCACTGGTCTCTGGTTTAAATCTCAACCGCAGAGGTCTTTTTTGTGGAAGTTAAATGTTGTTCTTGTTGCTTAGTGGGTTTCCTTGGTGTAATCAGGGTCCTCCCAGAAACAAGTCATCCACCTTACACTGATTAGGTATCCTAAATTAACTTAACTCTGCCTTTTACTTTGTTGTTTCCATTTTGTACAAGAACAGTTTCCACTTTGTACCAATCAGATTACCATATGGCCTTAATTGAGGCACCAACTTCCTTTGACCCTGCGACAGATGGGAATTAATCTGTTGGCACCCTTACAGCAATGAAACGTGGCTTCAGTTCTAGAACATGATTCAGTTAAAATCATTTGTCAAATACATATCTGCATGTTAATATAGTAAACACTACAAGTGTAAATAGAAAGTATTTGTTGTTTCTTTTACAAACAAAAACTAAAGCAGTGTGGACAGATCTGTTGGACCCTTTAGAGATGATTTATCTTTATACAGTATAATAGCCATGTTTAGTGCTGTACCAAACGATTATTTTCTAATAGATTAATCTAACGATTATTTTTTTGATTAATCGATTATTCTAACAATAAATCTATAAGTTATTCTGATGTGAGTGCACTGGATATTTAAAATGTTTTCAAATTAACAAGAACAGTTCTTTAATATTGTAATATTTTCTGTAATAGTTTTTTCATGAACACAAAATATGCACTCTCGAGTCAATTCTTTCACAAAAAAAGCTTAAAAGATTTAACATCAACATAAAAACTCAACCAAAGCAAATAAAATTCAAGTAAAAGAAATATAGTGTAAGATGTTAACAATCTAACAAATGAACTAAATCATGCAAAATTCAAGTCACTCTCAGGAAAAACTATAATA